GGTGGTGGTGGTGGTGGTGTGTGTGTGTGTGTGTGTGTGTGTGTGTGTGTGTGTGTGTGTGTGTCCCTGGGTGGTGGGAAACCTCCCAGTGTGAAAGAAGTCTGGGAGGGGCATAGTAGGGGAGGCCCCTTCTGTCCCACTGATATAACACGTTCTTTCACTGGGAGCTGGCTAAAACAGACTAATCTCTCCTGCAGTCATTCCCTGTACTCTAATAAGGCTCTGCCACCTCTGCTAGAGCTCGGTAAGTTCAAAGTGCAGAAGTGCGCGTTTCCAAGGAACCATCTGAAAAGATTTTGCGGGCAGCCTATCCGAGGGTGTGAAAGGGAAGGGGTGGAGATGGTAACTGTCAAGCATTGCCTTGCTTTCGTATTTGCACCAGGTTTCAAAACTATTTTAAAACGATTCTTTAGACACCGATTTTCTTCCAGGAGTACTTTTCAGAGGGGGGCCCTCGCAAGCTGCTGCTACCCACTGGAAACCAGCGCTCAGGAAATCTGGGGAAAGGGATTCGCAGGTGCATGTGCTGGGACCAAGGGCTGCGCCCGGGTCAGCCAGTAGCAGTCTCTGCCTCTGTCCCCAGGTCTGAGGGATGCTGTTCTTCTGTCCCCGTCACCACTGAAGCACCCAGGAGGGACCGACCTGAGCGCAGACACCGCGGACTATGAGTCCTCTAAGGCTGCGAGCGTCGCTTTCTTTGCTGCTGCTGCTGCTGCTGGGTCGCTGCCTCCTCGCGGCCGCCGGGAGGAACAAGGGGGCGGGTGGCAGCGGGGCTGAGTCGGCCCGGATTCCTGCGGGAGGCTCCTCGGGCCGCTTCCTCAGCCCGGAGCGCCACACGTGCAGCTGGCAGCTCTTGCTGCCCGCCCCCGGGCCGGCTGCGGGCAGCGAGCTGGCGCTGCGCTGCCAGGGCCCGAACGGGGCGCGCCACCAGTGCGCCTACCGCGGGGAGCCAGAGCGCTGCGCCGCCTACGCCGCCCGCGGCTCGCACTACTGGAAGCAGGTGCTGGGCGGACTGCGCAAGAAGCGGCGGCCCTGCCAAGACCCAGCGCCGCTCAAAGCCCGCCTGTGCGCTGGCAAGAAGGGCCACGGCGCGGAGCTGCGCCTGGTGCCCCACGCGTCCCCACCCGCCGGTCCCACTGAGGCGGGATCTCCTCGGGGTCCCAAGCCCGGGGCCAGGAGCCGGGGGAGGCCCCGGGAGCCCGCGCTGGACTTCGCTGCAAGGCTCCCGCCTCCCCCAAGCGCGCTGCCTAAAGGGATGTCCTCTAAGAAGAAGACTAAAGAGGGCAAGAGGAAGGTGGCCTCGGCTCCAGTCGAGGAGCTACCCCTGGGGGAGAGGCCAGATCCCGACGGGCTGGACGAGAACGCGAAGCTCACCGAGACCTACTGTGCTGAGAAGTGGCATTCCCTTTGCAACTTCTTTGTCAATTTCTGGAATGGTTGAGGCTGCGGGCCTAGGGAAGGACAAGGTGGGGCCGGGGCTGCGCAGCTCTGGAAGGGAAGCCTAGAGCATCTTAGGCCAAGAGATATAGGATAGAGAGTGGGGAGGAGTCCAGGTTTTAGAATGGGGGTGGAGGGTGGGCTTGGGATGAAAGTGTAAGTGGTATGGAGAATCTCTGCGACTGAAGAAGAGTTAAAAATTTTAGAGTCTCTACCCTGATTAAGAGCAGAAGAAATAGTGGAAACAAGTATGCATACCTTAAATGTGTGAAAACCGTAGACTGGGGAGAGAGATGTACGGTACAAAGAGAGGCTAAAAAAATAAGGGGGAAAAAGTGACTGGAGTGATGTGAATCTTGTATGGGAAGCAGGATACAATGTATACTGCTTAGTACATTTACATTAAAATGTAATTACGAGCAATTGATAGCCTGAGCCAAGTTGAACTGTTCAGTGTCTTCTCAATCAGCTGACGAGATTACCAACTTTTTTCTCTTTTCTTTTTGAATTAGCATGAACATGGGTGTTGGTTGGTATAATAGATGACCTCTACAGGGATAGAAGCCATTCATTGGTCAAATTGACTCCAATGCAAAGATTTTTCAGGATGGTTGGTTGCCCTTGAATTCTTTTAGGAGTGCTACTTTTAAACAGAGTGATGCCTAATGTTCTGAAACTTTCCCATTAACCTTCTAAATTCAGAAGTGAATTTTAAAAGTTGAGTGCTCCAGTAGGTTTTTAAAAACCAATTTTTTTTATAGTTGATCATATTTTTAAAAACAGCTAAAATGTAAGGATGTATCTCAGAGTCATTTGGACCATTATGAAAGTTGTATTTCTATTTCATGTAATTAATTGTTAACATATTTCATTTTAAATAAGATGTAATGATAGACTTTGCACATGTTAGGTGCTCAATAAAAACTGTATGGATAGATTTAAAGAACTGGCAGGGTGATGGAAATCTGACTGCGTTTGATCTAGTTCTGAGTACGCCTTGAAGTAAGTTCCTAAACACATCTTGAATTGTTAAGAAAAGACAAGAAAGAAGTCTGAATACATCAAGAGTCACAAACTGGCAAAGCCTGGGCCCTATCATTGTTTTGTTTGGCCTGCACGTGGTTCTTTCATTTTTCCTCTCTTCCTCCCTGTCTCCCAAGTTGGATTTGTTGCCAGCATTTAAAATGAGATAATTTCATAGAAAAATCCAGGTTTTTCTCTTGAAAAATCAGATCTAACAACATTGGACCCACTTTCCTGCATGGCAACAATTGGCTGACACTGAATATTGGCTGCCCCCTTTACATTTGTCATATTTTCTAGAATCCTACACTGCTCCTATACATCTTACCAATCAACTTTATTCATTCATATTATAGACCTGAGCCCACAAGACATTTAAGCCACTGTCCTATATAACGTTTTTACCTTTTTTGCTGACTTGTTCCCCTTTAAAATCATGGTAAATGCAGCAATCTTACAAATATTGAACATGTCTGGAACTTTTTCCTCTTTGACTAGCCTCTAGAAAATGCCAACTATCTTTTACCAGATCTGTACATTCTTGTATTCATACAATTGGCAAAAACATTCAGATTGCTCAGTTCAGGTTTATGAAGTCATGTTCTGAGTAACATTGGCCATTAGCTAAAATTCATCTTGGTCAAGAAAAGGAGCTCAGAGTAGCTGGAAACTACTCCCTAAAGATAGGAACCAATGTGCACTTTCTCAAAAAAAGGTTGGCAAAATTTGGGTCTCATCACAAAAGGATATTGGAAATGAAACAACACTGCCTAGAACCAGAGCTAGAATCATAGTTTTATCTTTCTATACAAGACGACTGCCAACTCCTTCCCATGTACCCTATGGCAGGCTGATGAACTTAACCTCTCTATAGGAGGGGGAAAGGACAAACTCTGTAGGCCCAAGAACACAGTGTCCTCTGCTCCTTTATTCTTTAAGAAGAGCTGTACCTAAGGCTCTGTCTCAAGAACAAAACACAGGCTTAGAGGGGACCAACTGCTTGCTGTAGAAGAGAAATGAACAGACCCTACCATCAGCTTCCGGAGTGACTGGTTAAATCCCAGTGTCTCTGATATGTAAATTGAGGGGAGTTAAGCTTGGTTCAATCTGAGGTCTCTAAGGTACACTATTAGCATTCTAGAATCCTATACATAGCTTTGCATAGAGGTGATAGCATGTGAAAATCAACAAGTACTACATTTAGAGTACTACATGTTATAACCCAACAAAGTTCATGGAGTTAGAAATGATCCAGAAAAAGACCAACCGAAACGGCCAGGGAAATGGAGTAGGCTTCCATATTTGGAGCATCTAGAAAGATTTGGACGGTTAGGCTAGAACAGGGGTCTGCAAACTTTTGAGACAGAAGAGCCAATCCTGTCCCTCACAATAATTTAAATATTATTTGAGAGCCATAAAACAAATGAAAACACATTATGTAAATAATATCCTTTAAAAATTTTATAAATGAAACTGTGATAGTTTTATTTTCATTTTCAGCTTTACTTCAGAGCCACATATAAGTACCCCAAAAGCCACATGTGGCTTGCGAGCCACAGTTTGCTGATCCCTGGGCTAGAACAAACCTGCAGGTGAGAGAAGAGAGGATCAAAATATCTAATGTAATGAGGAGGATGGACCTGGGGAACATGGGGATTTTCCCCTGCAGGTGCCATTTGGAATGAAGGGAAAGTTGCCAGGGCACACCCAGGTGAACAGTCACAGCTGAGATCAGCAGGGGCATCAGAAGTAGCAAGTCATTTCTAGCTCAGTCTATGGGAGACAGAGAATTTATTAAAACTATTGGACCATCTGGGCCAGTCGAGTGGCATGTTGGTTAAAAGTTGTCATGGGACACCAGCTCTGAGCAGCAGAGCCCCAGTTCGGATCCCACATGAGGGCCAGTGACACTGAGCCCTCTACAGCTAAGATGGTGAACAACAGCTCGACCTGGAGCTGTGCTGCCATGAGTCCCCGGCAGCGGCAGTGTGTGTGAGCTTTTGTGAGCTGCTGTGAGCCGCCATGAGCGGCTGTCTAATGGCCGGCTGCCTCACCCGGGAAGAGCGCAATGATAATACCTACATGGGCCAGTGAAGCGACGGTCTCCACAATTAGACTGAAGAACAAAAGGACAGTAACTTGTTCGTTCCCCTTCCCCGATTGCCCCCCAACTCCCCAATAAAAATCTTAAAAAAAAAATAAGACTAATGACCAACTTCCAGGGTTACCATGAAGAATAAATTACATGATATATTGGATAGCGCCCAGCACCACACAATACTTGGACTATAATAGGAACCCAATAAATATTACCTCTCCTTCCCTTGCAGAATGGTAAATTCAAAAATCAATTAATTTAGTTAAACAATAAATAATTTTTGATGCTGTGCCAAATGCCCTGGATCTGTCTGATGCCGAAGAAGGGGGGTGAGGAGGAATACCCTGACATAATACCAGCTTTCAACAAGGTGGAATATAAGATTACACCATGAAACCACTAGAAAACAATGAGAACAATAACAAAAATTAGGTTTCTACATGTAAGAGATTAGAAAGATGAAAAGTGAGTGTAAGTCTGGTTATCTAGGAAGCCTATCTAGAAGATGATAGCCTGTAGTAAACGTTGCTATAATTTTATAAACAGGTGTAGGGGAGAAAAGAAATGAAGTAAACCTAAAATTCTTGGGCCAAGCCCCTATTCTACTCCTAAGTCTAATTCTGAGCAACTCATAAAAATTTGTGTGCCTCAATATGGCATAAAGAAGTACTATGCTTCTGGAAGGCTCCAGGAAACAAGTATTCTCATGTAACATTGGTGGGAACATAAATTGGTACATTTCAGGATTAGAAACATACCTTTGGTTTCTCAATTATACTTTGTGGTAAACTGACAGTTATTTACCCAAAATCTAATCTCCCTTTCTTTTTAGGTGCATGCCACCCAGCCAGAAACATTTTCTAGCATTCCTTGTTGATAGGTATGATCAAATGATTAAATTTTTGCTAGTGATGTGTGCAACTTCAACTTCAATATGTTTGGGTTTTTTTTTCAATTGTTTGCCTTGGACTTTCTCTCCCTTTCCCTTCTGGGAGGTGGAACATAGATGTCCTAGTAAATTAACATTAACCACGAAGAAGAATAAAGTACCCTCAAGGATGGTAGAGCAACACAAGGAAAGACTCTGGGCCCCGCATAACCCCATGGAAAATCCTCACCATTCTATGTGGGTGAGACTTTTACATGAAGGGAAAGTAAATGTACAGTCAACCTTCATTATTTGTGGATTCTGTATCTACGACTTTCTCATACTCACTAAAATGTATTTGTCACCCCCAAATCAACACTCATGACACTTTTTCAGTCAGCAGCAGACATGTGCATGTACAAAGTGGTGAAAATTTTGAGTGGTCCAACAAGCATGTAGCCAGCTGAGGTCTACCAAAGCGATGCTCTGCCTTCCTGTTTCAGTTCTCATACTGTAAACAAGCTTCTTTTTTGTAGTATACACAGTGCCCTGTTTTGTCATATTTTTGTGCTTTTTTGGTAATTTTGCAGTTTAAAATGACTCCCAAATGTAGTGCTGAAGTGCTGTCTAGTGTTCCTGAGTACAGGGAAGCCGTGATGTGCCTTAAAAAGAAGATACATGCGATAGAGAAGCTTCATTCAGGCATGAGTTATGTAGTGCTATTGGCCATGAGTTAAATGTTAATAAATCAGCAATATAGATTAAATAATATATCTTTAAATAGAGACACACATAAAACAAGGTTATGTGTGGACCAGCTGATGAGAATATTGTGGTCAGAGGCTTGTGGAGACCCAATCCTGTATTCCCGCTAAGAGCAATGGTTCAGTGTTTACTAATTCTGTGCTCACACTAACTTTATAGACCATAACTACTCCAAATAAGGAGAATTGACTGTATTTCTTATTTAGGACTTGCAGTCTGAGATTAGACTTTACCTTAACTCGTACATGATTCTAATGCAGTTTCTCGTAGTTGGAAACAAACACATTTATTGATTCCAAAGTGTATATTGTATCATCAATGTTCCTATAGGAAACACATGACACACTCAGAAAGGGGTAAGGGAAGAGTTTAATTAAGGACTATTTATAAAAGTGTGGAGTAAGGGGACTTGTACTGGGTTGAATCGTGTCCTCCAAAGATTTATGTCCTTCCCAGAACCTGTCAGCTTTGTCACGGACAGAAATATATTAAATACTATTTTCTGTTGTACTGGTGAGGAAATGTGTAGCAAGTGAGGAATGTATTAACAATGAAGCCCAACTGACAAGTGAATATTTTACTACCGAGTGTATGTACATGTTCAACTGATCTGTTGAGAGCTGGACTAGAGGACAAGCTCACGCATGGCCCGTAGCATGAATATGACACTTGTATCCAGTTTCATTGCTGCTCATTTCTGGCCAGACTATAGCATATTTCCCATCCTAGGGCAAAGAGAAATATAGAAACTTTGAAGAGTATCTATAAGACTGTCACAAAGATGATAATGTCTTTGAGGAAAGGCATAGCAAAGTGAGTCCTCTAAGAATTAGATGGCAAGACTTACTGGGGGAAATGCTTGTAAATGATAAAAACAGAGAGTGCAGGAATAGGTGGGGAGAATCTCTGAGCCTTCCATAGGGAGAATGGGTGGAAGGAGGGATGAGTAGAAAGACCTTAACTCTGTGCAGCTCTGAGGAAACCTCAGCTAGTCTGGTGGGGAGCTCCAGCACAGATTGGGAAAACCCCACATTGGACAGGAATGGTCTGGTCCTAGCTCCCTTGCAGGCACAGTCAATGGCTGGGA